CAACATATCCACCATCATTTTGGATACCAAGTGTAACCATATTGATGCCATTCACTATGTTGTAGGGTGGCTTATTACCTGGAAAAGAAAAAGAAAAGAGAACAAATCAATCAGTACTTTTACTTAAAATTATTGTACTTCATAAATTATTTCCATGTAACATCAAAGATAATTTGTTAAACATTCATTCTGGGCAAGGACTTGACAGAAACAAGTGAAGGAAACAATATTTACCTTTCCTACTTTGACGTCCTCTGATTATATTTTCCTCCTCCTGCCATTCCTCACTCTCTCTTTCCTCCCTTCTTCCTCTCTGCTTTTCTTTCTTTCTGTTATGCTGGTCACCACTCACTAGTTGATTCCAGAACCAACAAAATGGGTCCTAACCTACAGTTTGAGAAACACTATTCAGGACTCTAAGTTCCTTGAGGGCAGTGACTGTGTCACTGAATATTTCATCTTCCTATTTCCAAACCCTGGGACTATTCCTGGCTCTCAGCAGCCTCTTAGTAAATGTTTTCTGAATGAATGGGCCTCAGAAAGCTCTTGCAGCCCCTGGGATTCCGGAAGGGACAGGAGAAGTGAATAATTTATCACAGACTTCTCGAGAGCTCCTGCTGTCCTCTAGACACTAGGGCCATTGTGGACGTGTCTGGGAAGCCCTACTCTCTCTGCCCTGCCTTTTGCCTCCCCCACCTTCCAGGAGAGAGGGCAGGAGATTTAATGAAGTTCAGAGATTTCCCAAGACAGAAACGTATTAATCAGGTTCTCGGGCAGATATTTGTCGACGGACAAATGATAAAAAGAGTGGAAGAAAGCAAGATTTTTACTAAGCCTTCATTTCATTTTATATATGTAAACTTAGTCCTCATAGTACCTGATTCCTGCCTCTCCTTCTAAAGCCACTGTTATGCTATTTTCAGCCCATCTGTTAGACCCTGACCACTTCAGATTTTTTTCAAACACTCTAAATCTTCATTATACATGCCCCATGCCAGGATTTTTCCATTTAGGGGTAGAAAAAATCCCCAAGCCCACCAAAACCCTGTGGCTTGCTTGCTTCTCCAGCTGGCTTGCTCTTCCCCAGGATTTTATTCCCATCATCAAAGTGTCTTGACAGACCGAGAACAAACCTCTGGCTCACCCTAAAGTCAAGCGTACCATTTCCAACTCAGAACACCAAGTAATAGAGAAAAAGAAAGAGAAAAAAATTATTTTCCTGACTTAGAAGCCAGTTCAGAGTAAAGCCCAACTCTGACTCCAGACAGGGATGTTATGTGACTGTGGCTGTGGCTGTCCTCAAGGGTGGAGCCACGAACGGTGGGCTCCAGGCCAAAATTCCTCCCTGAGTCAGTCTCAAAGGAGAAGCCATGGATGGACTCCTTTGTGGCCCCAGATCCTTTCTGTTTCCTGGAATCAAAAGATGCAGCATTTAAGGGAGCCTCCCATGATCTCGTTGACTAAGTCAGACTCGGCCCTGAGCCTCACAGTTATGGGAGCAGTCCAAGTGGTCCCTGAAGTGTCCCAGGAGGCCAGCAAGGTCGCCAGCCTGTGCTAGGTCAAGAGAAGATGCAGAACACTTCAGCCTGGCAGGGGGCTCCAGAGATTGGCAACCTTTCCTCTATTCATTTAGAAATTTTTAAAAAATATATTATCTTAGCTAAAAATCTCATGGAAAGTACGTTTCTCATTAGACTTGAAAATCAAACCAGTTTCCCAAAAACTTCCCTTTGTGGTTCTGTATGGCTCCACCCATAGAAAAACATCCAGGATGAGAAGCTGTGACTCTTTAAGACCACATGGAAGCAGGCCATACATTTTTACGCTCAGAAGTACCCAGTTGGCACAAAGCATCCCGTCTCCTGAAAGCCTGGCTTGCCTTGCTCTTGTTCCCACCTTCTCAGCACATTCTCTAATCTTCCTAAGCTAGTCTCCGCGGTCCCTGGACAAGCCAAACTAATTCCTTCCCACATTTATTGTCCTCTCTGAAAATGCCCTTCCTTGTCAAGTTTGTCTATCTAAATTCTTCCCATCTTTCACGGCCCAGTTGGAATTATATTTCATAAACCATTTCCATTTCTCCAGTCCATCCTGATATGTTTTTTTCTCTTAACTCCTTATATCCTGTCCCAAAGTTTGTCTTTATTTTTGTCTCCATAACTAGACACAATTCTCTGAGGTCAGAAATCATGTCATGTGCATCTCCTCCCAGCACCTAGCTCAAATCTATCCCACCTGCTATCTGCGGGCCGTTTACTAAGCCCTGTGCGAGATATCTGGTGATTCATTAACCCAATGCGTTGGATTTTCTCACTTTTTTTTCTTGAGTGGCCCTTTCTTTGGCAGGGGGAAGTCCTACCTGTTAAAAAGTGGAAGTGCTAGAATTGCGAATAATATCATTAAAGAAGTTTTCATAGATTGTGGGCTTTTCATAGTGGGTAGAAGAGTAAGTTCAGGAAATTATGATTTAGAGACCTGGGGAAAACTGGATAGAGACAAAAGACATGGGCAGGACTTGGGGGGAAAAAACCCCAAGAACAAATTCCAAATAGAGATAAGTTTAAACAAGAACAGCAAAAAAATAAACTGTAAAGTACTAGAAGAAAATATGGGAAAAATTTTAAATATATGTATTACATATAATCTAGAGAAGGGTTAGACTTTGTAAGTGTGACATAAAACCCAGGAGACAAATAAAAATAATGTGTTTGCATAAAACTAAACATTTCTGAATTGTAAAATAAATTATAAATAAAGTTAAAAGACAAACGATAAACTGCAAAAATATATTTGTAACACATGTATCAAAGAGCAGCTTTCCTTAATATACAAAGAGCTCCTACAAATCAAAAACTAATGAACAGGGGATTTGAAAACAATTCACAGAAAAAGAACTTCAAGTATCTTTTTTGAAAAGCGTATGATGTGATGGTAAACCTCACTTATGATAAAATAATCAGAATATAAAACAGAGAGGTATTGTTTTTCACTTGTCTTGACAAAGGTCAAAAAACTTTAATAATGCACTGTGTTGGCCACGCTGTAAGGAACCTGGAATTCTCACACACAGTTGATTAAACTATAAATTGATATAGTCTCTTCAGAGACATCTTGTCAAAATCAATCAAATTTTAAATGTGCAAATATCTTGATTCAGCGATTCAGCTTTTAGGAATTTCTCCTCTGAGTACTCATTCATATGCACAAAACTGATGTACATATGTTTTTATTACAGCATTGTTCTCAGCAAAGTATCCTAAACAATCTGAATTATTTCAATAGGGGACTGGTACATCCATGAAATTGAGCACTTATAACTCTTATAGAAATGAGGCAAATCTCTGTGTTTTCAATAGAACAATATCCAAAATATATTAGTGAAAAAAAGTAATGCTCAGAGCTTAGTATGTAGTAAACCACTATTTATGTAAAAATAAACAAGTGAGTAGCTATCAATAAATGCTTGTAAATGCATAGAATGTGCCTGGAAGGATATATTAAAAACCAGTAATAGTGATTGTTTCAGGGGAACAGAATATGGGTAGAGGGTGAGGGCGTGGAAAAGGAACTTAATTTTCACTATATGCCCTTTTGTACTGTTTGAGTTATTTTTATAACATGTGTATGTGTTACCTATTTTTTAAAACTAATTTTTAAAAAATGGCTAGGCACAGGGATGAAATTAGGCTGAACATGAGGTATACATCTAAACTAGGAGTTAGGGTAGGGTAGGGCTCAGGGAGCAAGCAGATACTGTAGGTGAAGCAAGTAAGTGGGCCAGAAATGAGGCAGGTCAGCAACAGAGAGACCTTGAAACAAGACAGTTTTGTTTTAAATCAAAAGTATCTGATTTTCTTTTCATACTAGAGCATATGCCAGCCGTAGGTTAGAGACAGTTCAAGAGAGAGTGGGAATAAATTTTAGGGAAATGGTAAAACTGTTAATTTACAGGGGATGAGAAGGATGGATTTAGGGATGAAGAAAATGGAAATCCATTAGCCAGGACACTGTACCACTCCCTAATCTTATGTTGGAGACAGAGAAGGCAGAGGATGAGCGCTTATGGAGTGTCTGCCGGTTCCAGGCCCTGAGGTGGGCATTCTGGCTTGCTGTGCCACATCAGATGCTCGCAGTGGCTCACAGTGAGGTGAGCGTCCAGGTCAGGAATCTGATTCAGGTCCCAGGGATACAAGTGGATTCAAGCCAGGATTCAAACCCAGGTCTGTCCCTACTGTTTTTACTACTTGTGCTGAATTATTAGTACACCGAGGAGGTTTGGACCCTTTTCATGGTCAGGATGAACTGAGGCTCAGAGCCAGGGACCTTCAACACTGTTCTCAAAAGAAAGTCTTCATTCTTCCTGTTTTATCTAGACCCCTAAATCCAAGCCCACTTACTTTTCCAGCGTGTGGTTCCAAGAATAAAATGAACTGCTCCGTTTATTGAAAGAAGAAAAAATTCCATTTGAGAAAAATTGGGAAAGGAATGTCTGCTCCAGTGTGTGTTGATGCTTTTGTGTGTTTGTTTCTTGGTTGGTCCTTTTATGTCTGTAGATGTCGTTTGTCATATGTGAGTGCAGCTCTTCTCCAAAATGCTAAATCAGTGATAGTCATAACCAATGATGTTTCCCCGAAATTTGTCAACTTAAGAGGAAAATAATAGAATATAGTCGTTTCCCCCATCCCCTTGTTTTAAAATAACTGGGGTAAGATAGTGGTTTTGTTTGTTTTCAGTGTATTTTATTTGGAGCCAGAGCATAGAGTTTTATCACTTTTGTACATGTGTAGCCCAATCTCCACCATATGCTCTAGGATTTCATTTTCTCACTTGACTTACTGGTGTGTTCTCACTATTGGTGATTTATCTGTCTTTTTTAGCATTTGCTGTAACTCCCTAAGCCTCATGACATGCCTGATAGAAAATACCCATTTTCTCTTTTCTGTGACCCAGGCCTCAAGGGGAGAAAATACCAATTTATTTTCTGTTCTTTACCTTTCTAGGCAAAATCCATGTTTGGTGACCAGAGCTGTGTATATTGATATTCTCTTCCTGTTGACTCGCTGCCTTGACAAACCCGCAAAAGGCGCCCAGCCAGGTATGATTCATAGTTATATCATATTTTGGAATGATTACAGGTCTTTGAAATGTAGGTGGGGTTTTGAATGGCTCTGCCACACACTCCCCCACCTTCTACTTTTGTGAGACTAACCACATGTCAAAATTAAACATAGCGTCATATGGTTCCCTCATAGAAGCTTCTCAAGGAAACTTGCCCTTGTTTAGTTGGAAGTTTGCTGTTTATTTTCTGTTTGGTCATTCAGGGAAGACTGTGGACTCTACCCAGATACCTTCTGTGTTTCTAAGACCTTGGCTCTTTCCTATTTCATACATTTTCTTTGAAAGGTCGGCATTTTCAATAACTGAGAGTTCTGTTCTATGGAGATTACTGAGCTGGACTCATTTGATGCCGGAGCCCAGATAATTGAGACTGTCTCAGATCTACCCCTCGCTCCCTAAGCTCTGACTTTACATGTGTTCCTTGGTCATATATGTTTCCTAGTACGGGCCCCAGATCCACATATAATTGTTCTATTTTTAATCATGATTCACAAAGTGGTTCTCTTAAAAGGGAGAAGGGCAACTCCAAATAAAAAATTTTTTTGATGTGTTTATATAAGAGGCTGCAGGAAGTGCTGTACATGATTCCAGGCCACAGACTGAAACTGATTTTCATCAACACAAACTGGAATGCAGAGTAATGAACCTGCAACTGGTTAAAATCAGCCTCTTCTAATTGATTAGGCCTGTCTAAAGAAGGCTACAATTACAAAGTCAGATTCTGAGTACAAGCAGGCCAGGCCTTTCCTCTGTTACATTTAGTCTGTCAATGATTTGTTGTCTTCAGTAAATATATTCAGGCTGTCAGAGTCCAGCTCTGTCCATATGGAACCCTGTTACCAAATTCAACCAATTTAAAGTGCTTTGAGGGGGAGGTGCGAACCCGCCTCACCCGGATCAATGTGTATTAGCCCACAAAGCCCCTGTGGCCATGCAGAGGTAATAAGAACATGCCTGGACTTTCATCAGCTTCGCGTCCCTGCATAGGGGTAGCTGTTGTATCCGTTTGGTAGAATAGGATCATATAGTTTTATGGCTGAAAACAGTCCTACTTTATACCTCTTGTCCCAGCATCATTATTAATGTGCCCCCTTTTACTCTTGAAAGTGTCCAGGTTTGCACAATAAATTATAGGTCACCCTAGCTATAAGGGCCCTCAGGGTTGCGTCCAGTTTATGTTGCACTTGAGCCAACTGGGGTCCAGAAATTATAAAGAGATTATAAATCAGATGTTACCAAGTAAGTTGTTTTGGGTTTCCACCCTGTTTGTATTTCAGTTCCAAATTCCATGGCTTTATAATACTTCTCTGCTTAGTATCTAAAGGGCCTTGACCATGAAAGAGTTGCTCTCTACTTACAACCCCATTCATTAGGGTCCTTTCAGAGTCGTGTGGCTGATTATAATCATCATTTTATTTGAACTAAGTTTTTCTTGGCGTATTAGTACCATTATTCCTTGTCTGGAAGAGTTAACTCTTGAATGTTGTAAGATACCCTCTCTTCTCCACCTGCCTGATCTTTCTTTACTCACGAGTTGGGCTCCCCTGTGAAGATGACTTTAGCCTTTTTGAATCATCCTTTTCTCCAAACTTTCACTTCATTCAGATGCCAGACCCCAATTAAATGTGATCACAAGCTGTCATTTATTCAGCAGATTTCACTTGCATCCATGTATTATTCCTCTTAAAGTTGTTACTTCACAGAGTAAGATGTGCAGTGGGTAGGTGCTTACTCTTCTTCTGGTATGGCAGCCATAGCTCTAAACATTATATCCTGCACTGTCTAGTGTGGCAGTCACTAGCCACATGTGGCTCTTGAGCACTTTGGATGTGGCTGATCCAAATTGAAATGTTCTATAAAAATAAAATACACACTGAATTTCAAAGACTTGGTATGAAAAAACTAATGAAAAATTTCTCATTAACGTTTTATATTGATTAGATATTGGAATGATAATGTTTTTGATATATTGGATTAAGTAAAATGTATTATTAAAATTAATTTCACCTGTTTCTTTTGACTCTTAAAAACGTAACTACTAGAAAATCGAAAATTCCATATAGGGCTCATACTATATTCCTGTCCGACAAGTACTGATTTTGTCCAGTCCTTTGGGAATTGCCCTCATAAACCACAGGATATATATGTATGTGTGTATGTATCTAGGTCTATGTTTATGAATGTATGTATCCTATAATACATCCACACAAATAGTGGTAACAAAGTTTCCTCCTTTGAAGATGAATTAAGATTTTTAGAACTAACCAAATGTCAAATAAAATGCTGATTAAGATGGATAGCACTGTTTAGGGTAAAAATAAACTGTGAGCTTAAAGTAATGAAATCTATTCTTGTGTGTTTCATAAATTGTTTCCAAAAGCAGTTTGAACAATAGCTAAATATATCGCCCAACAAGGTGATCACTTACTTGGATGTATAGAATTCAAGATAATGTCATGACATTACCTTATAAGTACCTAGAAGAATGGATCATGCCGTACATTCTTTGTACCCCAGCTAAGTACACAGCAGGCCCTCATTAAATGGGTTTGTTATTAACTGATTGATTGAAATGCAGAGTTTTCCTCAGTTTTTAGAATAGTAACAGTTGTCATCAAGATACAATCTTAGGGGCTGGCCTGGTGGCGCAGTGGTTAAGTGTGCACGTTCCACTTCGGCGGCCTGGGGTTCCCCAGTTTGGATCCCGGGTGGGGACATGGCACCACTTGTCAAGCCATGCTGTGGCAGGCATCCCACATATAAAGTGGAGGAAGATGGGCACGGATGTTAGCTCAGGGCCAGTCTTCCTCAGCAAAAAGAGGAGGATTGGCAGCAGATGTTAGCTCAGGGCTAATCTTCCACAAAAAAAAAAAAAAGATACAAATCTTATTTAAATTCATACATCAATCAGATGTAAATTCATTTTCCGAATTCAAATCAGATGATTATATCGTGTGTATGTGTTCATAAATATCTATATATCTACGTCCATTATTAGCTCACAAAGCTCAGAGTAGGGAGTATGCCACATAGGCTCTCAAGCCAGATCCCTGGGTTTGAATCCCAGGTCTGCCATTTACTAGCTTTGTGACCTTAGGCAAGTCGTTTAATCTCTTTGAGACACTTTTTCTTAATTGTAAATGGGAATAGTAGTAGGATCTGTCTCTTAGCATCAACTAATACATGCAAAGCCCCATGTAAAGAATGTGCTTTGCATGGCACAGAATAAGTGCTCAGTAAGCTTTAACTAGCACTAATATTATTATCATCATTATCATTATCATTAGATGGAAAACATGCATCTAATCCAGTCCCCTGCAGCCTGGCAGAATTATGCTTTACCCCTCACATTCACAATTCTCCTTGTATTCTTAAACGTCTTCAGGAAAGAAGAAATGCCTGCTTTTCTAGGAAAACACTGGCATAGAATGTCAGGAATCCACGTTGGAATTTACTTGTTTAGGGATGTTCCCGCCCCTCTGACTGATCCAGAAAAGAATCATTTTTTGTTGTTTTCAATCATCAGACATGACATGCTAGCATCAGGCGTGTTGGGCACCTGTATCTGGAGATACTTATGAAAATGTCTTGGGCTTATAAGTAAGTAGATGCAATAAGGGCTTACAGATGCTTTATAAAGGAAGTGTGTGTGGGATCCACTTGAGGCACTAAAGAATGAAAGGTCATTTCTCCTTGGGAGGGAAGGAAAAGCTTCATAGAGGAGGAGGTGGTTGAGCGGAGTTTTGAGACTGAGTAGAGATTCACCAGAGGGACGAGATGGAGGTGGGCATTAAAGCCAGAAGGAGGAGCATGGCCAAAGCCACAGAGGCACAAGTCAGCACAGCCTTCAAAGAGCTAGGCCAGTGCAATTGGGATGTTGGATTCAAGGCCAAGCAGATGTGACTAGAAGTGAGACTGGGGCGGCAGGAGCTCAATCATGGAGGGCCTCATAGGCCGAAGTCTAAGGAGCTTGGACTTGACCCTGCAGACAAAGGAGATTATTGGAGGAGATAAGACAGAGAGTAGGGTCATATGGTTTTTAAGACAAGGTGACATTTCTTTCTCTGCTCACATCCTCATAGGTTTCTTAGGATCCTTATGGAGCTAAGTTCCTATTGTCAGTGAAGAAAAGTCTAGCCAAGAATTCCTTTACAGAATGTCAGAGAGATTTGTCCAGGCGTTGTGATAATCAGTATTAGGGTTTTGGGAGGTGGAGGTTGGGGAGTGCAGGACCAGACTAACGTCTGAGGCAGCACAATACTGAAAATGGTTGTTTTAGAATGGTGTGATTATAGGGGGGTTTCTTCCTCTTATTTTCCATTTTACTTATTTTACACAGCATAATTTTGTTTTATTCATGTGTGTGTGTGTGTGTGTGTGTGTGTACGTGTATTTCAACAGTAAATGTATCTAAATTTGAATCTTGAAAGAGCTAATGATTCCAAAAGAAATGAAGCAATATCAATTTCAGGGAGAGTTTTTTGGGTGGAAGAGGATCTGCCCGTCTCCTCTCCAACACTGTCCTGTAAGTGACCTTGGAAGCCTGTTCCTCCCCCTAAAGTGTCTTAGAACCGCGTTGGAGGGCTGAGGGCATGAAACAACGAGAGAAACAGTGAAGGAGAAAGGCAGAGAAGATGATTAGAAAAGCTTAAGATAATGATGTGTTTTGCGTAATTCAAACTTTTATCTTAGTACTTCCCAATCATTTGAGGTTTCCTCAGCCATTAACTAGGTTTTAAAAATTCCAAATCTGGGGGTTTTGTTTTGGATTGTAAAGTGATTTAAACCCACAAGGACTCTCTGTCCCCTGTATTCTTTTTCCTCTTCTGAGTCCAGCTGTCACCATTAGTATATATCAGTTTCCTGCTGCAAAGAAAATTACAGTCTCCGGTTGGAGTTGGGGGGGTGAGGCAGAGAAGGCGGACTGCACGCGGCCTCAGAGGCTGGTTCCAGCCTGGACAGGGACGTGATCACGGAGAGCTCTCCTGCTCATTTTAAACCCAGCTTAAACTTATTTGCTCTCAGGTTGGAAATTTTCCATTGAAATGTCTATTTACTGAAACACTCTCTGAGACCTGACTAAACATTTACCCCCTTTTTTCTGAGAGATGGACTTTCTATTTCTCTCTTATGCCCACACCCCTTCAATTTGTGTGTTTCACAGCTACTGAATTGAACATTTTTTTTTTTTTTTAAAGATTGGCACCTGGGCTAACAACTGTTGTCAGTCTTCCTTTTTTTTTTAAGGATTGGCACCTGGGCTAACAACTATTGCCAATATTTTTTTTTTTTCTGCTTTATTTCCTCAAACCGCACCCCCCCCCCACCCCGCCCCGCCCCCCCACCCCCACCCCCACCCCCATCCCGCCCCGCCCCGCCGCTGGTACACAGTTGTATATCTTAGTTGCAGGTCCTTCTAATTGTGGGATGTGGGACGCTGCCTCAACATGGCCTGACGAGTGATGCCATGTCCGCGCCCAGGATCCGAACCCTGGGCAGCCGCAGCAGAACGCATGAACTTAACCACTCGGCCACGGAGCCAGCCCCCGAACGTTTTCTTTTACTAAGTATTTAAACAAATATCTTACCTATTTGCACTTCCTGAGTTTTTTTTTAAAGTATTCTCAATTACTGTATTTTTTAATTTTTAATTTTTTTTTTTTGAGGAAGATTAGACCTGAGCTAACATCTGTCAATCCTCCTCTTTTTGCTGAGGAAGACTGGCCCTGAGCTAACATCCGTGCCCATCTTCCCCCACTTTTTATACACGGGACACCTGCCACAGTATGGCTTGCCAGGCGATGGCATGTCCGCACCTGGGATCCGAACCGGTGAACCCCAGGCCACCGAAGCTGAACATGCAGACTTAACCGCTGCACCACTGGGCTGGCCCCTGACTTTCAATTTAAGTTCTCTTGCTGGGTTTCTGAGTGGATTTTTCTTTTCCTAGTCTCCATTTTACTAATTTTATGCAGCCTGGTTATTTCTTTTATAATTATATTGTGTATAATGTATTGAAATACCAATCTTGAAGAGGATTAGTTGATCCCAAAGAATTAAAGGAATGACAAATAACAATTTCATAGAAATGTTTGAGGTGGAGAAGGATTTGTCCATCCCACTCCACGTCATATAAGCCATCTCAGAAGGCTCTTTCCCTACCCCTGAAATGTGTACAGGATGCCCATCAGATTCTCATTTTCAGGAAACATTTTAAATATCGTCTTCCTGGTAGGGATCATAATAATTATAACCAACATTTATTAGCACTTAACTCTATGCTAAGCACCGTACCAAGCATTTTGGGTGGATTAATGAAGGAGGCAGTAGTGGTCCTTCATTTTAGACATTAGGAAAATAAGGCACAGAGAGAACTGCCCGATGTCACGTGTGTAGTCAGACAGCCAAGTCTGAGCTCTCCAGCCACCTACCCTGTGGCCCCACAGCACAGTGAGGACTAGTCAGGAAAACCACTCACTATCTCAGGGAGGGGTGCCCCGGAACCCTCTTGTTATTCAGCTTCCCCGGCTTCTGCCCCTCCTGCAGAACCCCCAGGCCTCAGGGAGCAGTCCCCTTTAGAGGAGCTTCCAGATCACATGTTTCTCTGGGGACTTTCTTGCCTATGTTTCTGTCTCCCATCCCGCAGGCGTGTGCATACCCAGGACTGGAGCAGTTACTAGAAAGAGAAAGCTTGGCCGCTCCCAGGTAGCCATCTGCCCTTTTTCCCTTTGAAAGTGGAGTTATGGCCACTGCATGAAACACTTCCCAATGCCAGGCTGCTGGTGACTGTTTTGTGATTTCTTTGTTAGCTGGGATTTATAGTTCAGATCTCATCATTCTGCCAAGTGCAATAAACATTTTGTTTTAACTGGAATGTAACTTTTATTATTGTTATTATTTTTCTTCTAAATGCCTTAAAAGTGACCGGTTTGTGAGTATGAAGTCAGAATCCCTAAATAATCTAAATGCCAAATCAGTGTGGTTTGTAGATGTGTAAGGTTAGAAGACAGGCTCTCATTTATTGCTGCTTGTATTTATATAATGGAAGTTAGGTAACGTAAACCCTCCCAAAGGCTGGCTTAGATGCTGATGATGGTTAAATGGTAAAGTCTGTGAGAAGTGTTCAACAGTCCCTTGTATTTGTACTGCCTAGAACATGAATAATAGATGTGTGACATGAATAAATATAAGGTCAATGATTTTTATGACATTAACTTCCTTTACCTAAGTTCCTGGGAAATATAGCCAAACAATTACAGAGAATAAAAACATTAGCAACTTACAAACACCTGCTTTGATTATTTGGTCTAATTAGGTTAAATTTAACCAATCCCATCTGAACAAATTGAAAACAATTCTTATCTGTTCCCTTGGTTGTGCACTTTTATCGGCGCTGGCTGCAGATGTGTCTAATATGACACAGTTGGTGCTATTCTCTCAGCTCTGAGTGGGAGATAAAAGGGAATTGAGAACATACTTTTAGAGTCTTCTGGGGACTTTGTATTTCTGGCCCTGCAGCTAAGAAATTTCAAGGAAAAAAAACAGCCTTTGTTGTCAGTAAATTAGCTGCTTTTCTCCAAAACACTGGGACTGTCATCTGAACTGTTGCTTTTGCCAAAAGTATCTTTCCCAGGGAACAGTGAACTCCTGAAATAAGCGGATGACTCCTAGCTGCCTTTCGGAAGTCAGAATAATACAGGATGTGTTATTAGATTGCTAGGTTGATGTGGTGTTTACCCCTCATTAATTCCAAGCCTGGGGCTGAGTACATAGGTCCACAGTTCTTAGAACTCTAGAGTCTAGAGACCATTTAATCGGTAGGTAAAGTGGAAACCGTAGCAACTAAGTGACTTGCCCAAGGACACACAACTAGTTAGTGAAATAGTCAAGCTTTCCTGCTCATGGTCCGCTCTCCATTTCCATGACCAAAATTAAGGGTCTTGTAATAGTGTGAGAGTTGGGCTGAATGTCTGGATCTGTAACAGAACCATGTCATGAAACCTTAGGACCCTACCCTAGGAGTAAAATACTATTCAAATGAGCAACTGGGGTCTCAGAACATTTGTGATTTCAATTTTCCTGTGTGGTCTTGTCTTGCCCCACTCCAGCCCCTCTGCATCACAGATAACATGAAACTAGTTGCCCATGTCAATTACATTAGTTAAGCAAGTTGTTTTTGAAAGCTTATTCTAGACATTTCATATAAATGGAATCATACAGCATGTGGCCTTTTGTGTCTGGATCCTTTCACTTCACATAATGTTTTCAAGGTGCATCATGTTGTAGCATGAATCAACACTCTACTCTTTTTTATGGCTGAATAATATTCCATTGTATAGATGCACCACATTTTGTTTATTCATTCATCAGTTGATGGACATTTGGGTGGTTTCCACCTTTTGAATAATGATGCTATGAAGATTCCTGGACAACTTTTTGTGGGGAAATACGTTTTCAATTTTCTTGGCTATCCACCTAGGAGTAGAATTGCTGGGCCATATGCCAACTCTAAATTTAACTTTTTGAGGAATTGTGCCAAACAGTTTCCAAAGAGACTGCACCACTTTACATTCCTACCAGCAACGCATGAGGTTTCCAATTTCTGCACGTCCTCAGCAACACTTGTCATTGTCCATGTTTTTTATTACAGCCATCCTAGTGGGTGTGACGTGGTATTTCATTGTGCTTTTGATTTGCATTTTCCAAATGGCTAACGATATGGAGCATCTTTTCTAGTGCTGATTGGCCATTTGTATATCTTCTTTAGAGACATGTCTATTCAGATTCTCAGCCCATTTTTAACTTGGTTTATATATTTCTTTATTCTTGAGTTGTAAGAGTTCTTTATATATACTAGATATTAATCCCTTATCAGATATATAATTTGTAAGTATTTTCTCCCATTCTGTGGGTTGCCTTTTCACTTTCTTGATAATGTCTTTGATGTACAAAAGTTTTTAGTTTTGATGAAGTCCACTTTATCTATTTTTTCTTTTGTTGCTTTTGCTTTTGATGTCATATCTAAGAAATCATTGCCTAATCCAAGGTCACAAAGATTTACACCCATTTTTTTTTTCTTAGGAGTTTTATACTTTTATCTCTTAACATTTAGGTTTCTGATCCCTTTTGAGTTAATTTTTGTATTTGGTGTGAGCTACAGGTCCAACCTCATCCTTTTGCATCTGGCTATCTATTTGTCCCAGCACTATTTGTTGAAAAGACTTATTCTTTCCCTATTAAATTGTCTTGGAACCTTGGTCAGAAAATCAATTGACCATAAATACATGGGTTTATTTGTGGACTCTCAATTCTATTCCATTGATCTATATGTCTGTCCTCATGTCAGGACCACACTGTCTTGATTATCATGGCTTTATAGTAGCTTTTGAAATCAAGATATATAAGTCTTCCAACTTTGTTCTTTTTCAAGATTGTTTTGGCTGGGTCCCTTTCATTTTCATACACATTTTAGCATCAGCTTGTCAATTTCTGCAAAAAGAAAAGAAAAACCAGCTAGGATTTTAATAGGTATTGTGTTAAATCTGTAGGTCAGTTTGAGTCTTGTCATTATAACAATATTATGTCTTTAGATATTCTGATCAGAACACACGATGTCCTTCCATTTATTTAGATCTTTTTCAGTTTCTTTCAGTGGTTTTGTAGTTTTCAGTGTACACATCATGAACGTCTTTTGTTAAAAAAATTTATTCATATTTCATTTTTTTGATAGTGTTGTAAATGAAATTACTTTCTTAATTTCCATTTTGGATTGTTCATTGCTACTGTATGGAATTACCATTGATATGTGTATATTAATCTTTTATCCTACAACCTTAGTGATCTCATTTGTTTGCTCTGATAGGTTTTTCTGTGGACTCTTTGGAAATTTCTCTATATGAGATCATGTCATGTGCAATAGAAATAGGTTTTACTTCTTCCTATCCAATCTGGATGCTTTTAATTTATTTTTCTTGCCTAATTGCTCTAGCTAGAACCTCCAGTACAATGTTGAATAGAAGTGGCAAGAGCAGACATCCTTGTCTTGTTCCTGATCTTAGAGGAGAGCTTTTGGTCTTTCACTGTTAAGTATGGTGTTAGCTGTGGGTTTTTCATAAATGCCCTTTATTAGGTTGAAGTTGTTCCCTTCTATTTCTAGTTTGTTGAGTGTTTTCATCATGAAACGGTGTTGGATTTTGTCGAACTCTTTTTCCGCATCTGTTGAGATGATCATGTGATTTTTGTTCCTTATTAATATGGTGTGAGTCATGATTTTTTATTGCTGAGTAGTACCCCATTATATGTATGGTTTGTTTATTTTAATTCACCGGTTGAAATATATTTGGGTGTTTCCACTTTTTGGAAATTGTGAATAGCGTGGCTCTGAGCATTCACATAGAAGTGTTTGTGTGGTCGTATGTTTTCATTCCTCTTAAGTAAAACCTAGGAAGGAGATTACTAGGTCATGATGAAGATTGTTTAATGTTGTAAGAAACTGCCAAACTCTTTTCTAAAGGGGCTTACCATTTTGCATTCCCACCAGCACTGAATGAGAGGTACACTTGTTCTGTATCCTCACCTAGACTTGGTTGTCCCTCTTGTTAATTTTAGCCATTTTAGTAGGGGTATAGTAGTGTCACTTGAAGTTCTCTTTCATTTTTTGCATACAAATATCTATTGTTCCAGCACCATTATTTTTTTTAATATTTTTTCCTTCTCCTTTTTCCTCTCTTTCTGGGATTGCACTCATATGTATATTAGGTCACTTGAAGTTGTCCCATAGATGACTGGTGCTCTGGGATTTTTTCTATCTGTGTTTCGTTTTTAATAGCCATAAGTCAGGGAATGGTTCCAGGTCTTACATTCAAATGTTTAATCCATTTTGAGTTAATGTTTGTATATGGTGTCAGATAATGGTCTATGCTGCTTTTCTTCTAATGTTGGATTTTTCCTTTCTTGTAAGGTGACTTGTCAGCCATAAGTCAGCCATAAGAAACGATGAAATCTGGCCATTTGTGGCAACATGGATAGACCTTGGGGGTATTATGCTCAGTGAAATAAGTCAGAGGGAGAAAGTCAAATATTGTATGATCTCACTCATAAGTAGAAGATAAAAACAACTACAAACACACACACAGAAACAGATTGGATTGATGGGAGGAGGGCAAAAGGGCTGATTAGGCACATGTGCTGATGGAGTGTAAACAGTCTTTGGTTGGTGAACATGATGTAATCTACACAGAAAACAAAATATTATGGTGTACACGTGAAATTTATAAAATGTTATAGACCAATGTTATCGCAACAAAAAAATAAAAATAATTTTTTAAAAAACTATATTATGCGATGGTTTTCAGCTAGGATTTTGTGATATGCTTTTTATTAAAAAAAAACGTATATCAGGTCTCTAAAATGAATTTGCTAAAAAAAAAAAAAGAGAGAAAGAAAGAAAAGCAGCTACCAGGATGTAAAATTGATAGCAAGAACAAAGAACTAAAAATGGCTATCGCATCCATAGTAGGAAACAGAGCTTCTGCTCGTCCCATGGCCCAGGTACACTTACTCCCAGGCTCACCTCCGTTGCTCATCTGGCTCATCACATTTGCCTAACTGCCCCCTCCATGTTGGGGCTGGACTTCACATTAAATAGCGTTCCTAGTCCATCCAGGTTCTGTTGGATTTGCCAGCTGTAGACTGCACCTTGCAGCATCGCTCCTACAAGGGTTGGCCTGCACTCCAGTGATGCTGGGAACCTCCAGTTTGAGAGGATGTTTCTCCCAGAAACTGTAAACTGTAGTTCGGGCAAGGGACTGCGATAGGTGGTCCTAGCTCCTCTCTTACTACAGGTGAGACAACAAAGGTTAGCCCCAGTTATTTAAAGGAATCTTCCCAGCCAGCAGACACTCAAGCTGGTTTACACTGTATCTCATTGCCTAAGGGTGGAAGAGACGTCCCAGGTCCTATAAGGTTAAATTGAACAGGGGTGTTGAGGTGTGATGATAGGGAAATTTCCAATTTCTCAGTCTTGTCCTTGGGAGAATTCACTGACAAAGAACCAGAAGCAGTGTATGCTTAGAAGTAATTTTATGTTTGTGTCTTTGGGTTGTCCTGTGTTTTTCCACGAGTATTTCCTGACTTCCTCCCTGTGCTGGGCAAAGGCAGGGATGGGATGGTGGGTGGAGGCAAGAAATAAAAGATACTGTCCCACCCAGTGCCTGATGAGCTCATTTTTAGCCTACCGAAATCCTTGAGAGCTCTCCTGACTTGCTATCTCCCAAGCCGCAGGGACTGTGTTTTTATTTTATGGGTTGACAAGTTAGTCTTCAAATAGCATTCTCGAAAGCTCATCCTCCTTCCTCAACTTAAAGAGTACATGCCTTGGCGAATATACTGGGGGCAAGGGAAGGAAGGATTGTTTGCAAAGGGGTGTGTGTCAGGGGCCCACGCCTGTGTAAGCAGGACGTGAAGGGCCTCAGAGACCTAGAAACAAAAGTAGGCAAGAAATGAACAACCGGCAGCAGTTCAGAGTGCTCCTCAAGACACAGTCAGTCTCCAGATCATTCTGCCAGGTCATTCTGCATGTGTGTATCTGGGGGGCCCCTAGGGTCAGGATTACAGTCTACTGGGAGGGGCAGAGGATAAATAGAAGAATGGAATTTCCCTTCGATAAGGAGAAGCCAAGATTTAGTAAATCAGTTGATTTGTTGTTGTTCCTATGGTTTCCTTTTCTCTCCAAATATAATTTTTTTGAGGAATTGCAAAACAGGACATTAACATTCACAGAGTGTACAAATGATCTGTGATTATTTTTAGAACCAGTTTGTCAGCTGTTTCCGATAAGAACTTTTGTTGGATCTGATTACAGATCTCTGACCAGAGCTACAATTCTTTGAAACAGAAGAAGCTGGCCATCTCCCTACACATGAAAAGTGAAATCTGCTTTGTATTTTCTCGCCCCTACATTTTTGAGGAGGATAGAGGTTCTGGGAGAGAGGAGGAGGCTGGAGGAAAGTACAGAGCAATTACATCTGCACAGTTTTCTTGACCCAGTGGTATCGGAGAATTCAGAGCCTTTACAGTATATCAAAAAGGAATTTGTTCCTTCATTCGTGGCAGAGGGAACAGTGTATGCAAGGTCAGGCAGAATAAAGAACCGTCCTCTCAGGCTCAGTGGCAGGTGACCACTATAGTAGCACAATCAATATCATTGCCGTTTACACAGTATCCCCAGTAAGTGACTTATTCCATAGCAGTAGAACCCTTTTTTTCTGTTTGGTTGGCCTTTTTAGTCCTAAGGAGGATCCCTCCCCCTTCATGGGTACTGTTTGCTACTTATAAGTAGAACAAGTTTGCTGTGATTACTGGGAATTTTGCTTCCCCATAGCCATCTCTACTGGGGCCAAGAAAATGCCGTCACTTTGGGCCTGTATACTTCTTCCCTCTTGCCCCTTTATTTTGGCCAGTTCAACACAAAGCAATCAGGCTATCTTTTTTTTTTTTTGAGGAAGATTAGCCTGGGGCTGACTACTGCCAATCCTCCTCTTTTTGCTGAGGAAGACTGGCCCCGAGCTAACATCCATGCCCATCTTCTTCTACTTTATACATGGGACACCTACCACAGCATGGCTTTTGCCAAGCGGTGCCATGTCCGCACCCAGGATCCGAACTGGCGAACCCCAGGCCACCGAAAAATGGAATGTGGGAACTTAATCGATGCACCACCGGGCCAGCCCCACAATCAGGCTATCTTGATTCATGCCATACCAGTGAAGGCCAGGAACTGTATAATGTTCAGGAGCTCTTTGTTGAGTACTAGATGAAGGGGTTGACTTATGATTAGGGGCCATGATGTACAAAAACAAATACCATTAAACACTAGAATTACATACCTTCAGCGTGGATAGATGTTTATACTGTAAGAAGCACGGATGATCTCAGATGGTCTGAGGTAGTGGTTCTTAAAGTGTGGTCCCTGCATCAGCAGCATCACCATCACCTGGGAATTTGTGAGAAATGTAATTTGGGGGGTGCCCTGCCCCAGACCGACTGAATCAGGAACTCTGGAGGTAAGCATGCTAAAGTTTAAGAGCCATGGGTCTGAGGTAGCAGCACAACCATCCTTCTGGGAAAGTGCTCAGTGATTGGAATGCCAGGTGAAACTGCCTTCTCTTTTTTAATTGTTATTTTCCAGTCTCTCTCCCTCTCTCTCTCTCTCTTTGCCTTGTACTTAGAGTTAAATTCACCTAAATTAAATGCTCTTATGGTGAAACTCCACTGTATCCATAATTATGTGGTAATGATATCATCAACGTTTTTTTCCAGAATGCCCTTGTTAAAGCTTTTAGAGTAACATGCATCTTTTAAAATTATGTTGATTTTTTTAAAAGAAATTTTAGCAAACCTCTGTGAGTAGCTCAGAAAATCAAAGATGAATGACCCACAGTCCTGCCCTTTGGGGCTATACTGCTCCTCTGGGGTGGACACAGACCCCGCTAAACAATAAAACAGGATTTGTGAAATATGACACTGTCCCTGCTCAAGGTATGTGCTGCTGTTAAATCTTCTTTCAACAGCCAGGTCGAGGGGCTGGCCCGGTGGTGCAGCGGTTAGGTTCCCATGTTCCGCTTTGGCGGCCCCAGGTTCACTGGTTCGGATCCCAGTGTGGACATGGCACCGCTTGGCAAAAAGCCATGCTGTGGTAGGCGTCCCACGTATAAAGTAGAGGAAGATGGGCATGGATGTTAGCTCAGGGCCAGGCTTCCTCGGCAAAAAGAGGAGGACTAGCAGTAGATGTTAGCTCAGGGCTAATCTTCCTCAAAAAAAAAAAAAAAAAAACAGCCAGGTCAATGTTAGCGCCCTACCTTGGTTGGTTAGGGATTGGCAGCTGTGATATCCAGTTAATTTAGCGATCACCATTCAGGTTGCAGACATAACACTGAAAGCTGCAACTTGCCAAAGAACCGCTAAAATAACACATTTGAGATTACCAGAGGGAATTGTGTGAATGGACCACTGTGCTCCTTGTCCTGAGGGACCCGGCAAAGGCCCTTCAGTTCCTCCCTAGGATCTTTCTGTTCAGGGTAGTCATGCTGTCCAAACAGATCAACCTCAGGAAATAGCCATCAGCTTCTCCAAAGCTGCCGTTCACTAGTGCTGGTGCCCGGTGCTGTTTTCACAATAAAACTATAGCAAAATTGGGCCAGCCCTGGTGGCCTAGTGGTTAAGTTTGGCGTGCTCTGCTTCGGCCACCAGGGTTGAGTTCCTGGGCGCGGACCTACACTATTTGTCTGTCAGTGGCCATGCTGTGGCGATGGTCCATATACCAAAAAAAGAGGAAGATTGGTAACAGATGTTAGCTCAGGGTGACTCTCCCTCAACAACAACAAAAAAACCTATAGCAAAATGACACTGTAGCAAATTTTTCTTATAGCCAAATTTCTTTAAAGAATTGTCTTTTATGATGATACTACAAATTTACTATGTTTTTGATGTTGATAGCCTTTCTTTCATGAAATGATAATGGATGGTAGATTTTTAACATCCTTATTTTACAAAATAAAAAGTTGGCAACTTATCCAGTCTGTCACATTGTTTTTGACATTTTATTGGTCCTTGAATTCCAAACTTGGGAATCATTTCTCCATTGAACCAGGACATAGCACAGCAGGAGGTACTGTCCTTCCAAGTGAATCCAGCTGCTAAGCCATTCCTTTGAAGGCTAGAAATATGCTTGCCGTAAGAAGAAAAAAAAGTTAATTTCAAAAGTGAAATCAAATTGGATGTGTAGAATCAGTCACACATACTTGGGTGACTAAAATGACTACACTGATGGGAAAATCCAAGGACGTTCCAAACAAGGAGAGCTGGGAAAAGCTCCAATTAATAAGAGTTTGCAAAAATCATCTAATTTGTGAAAAATAAGTTGGGGCCATTAAAGGAGAGACTTGATTCTTTCATTGGAACACTTGGCTTTCCAAGAAAGACAGGAAGGAAGAAACATAAAGTAATCAAACTTGAAATTGTAAGTAGACAAGTTATCTTCTAGAGAAGAGGATTGTTAAACCCCAGACTGAGGAATCCCGTCAAAGAACTAGCTTCAGTTTTTGTGTCCTGCAGACAACAGGCACTCAGAGAAATGGAAATAAGTCCCCGTGTTGATCTAGACTTTGAAATGCATTTGGTAGGGCAAGACACAAAGCAGTGCTTTGCTGGAAAGAAGCCCTGGTTGTGAAAACCATTTGGTGAACTCTGCCTGCTTGTGGGCTGCAGAGCCGGGAAAACATTAGCTGTCACCCCCAGCTGCATGCTGGAATCACCAGGGTCACTTTACAACAGGCTTGCCCCAGAGATGCAGTTAAGTGTCCCCTGACGTGAGTGTGTTTCTAAAGCTCTTCGGATGGATTTAATGTACTTCCTGGCCTGAGAAACCTCTATGCTAGAGAGGAAAGCAATACGTCTGGTTTAGTCACTGCAGCCGCTTATGTTAAAGTACTGGGCATTTCTGACTCCAAGCTCTTGTTCCACCTAGAGACCCCCATCACTCTAGGCACTGGCAGAGAGAGTGTTCTGTGGTCCCCACTAAACTGGAACTCCGTGAGAGCGGAGCTTGGTCTTTCTCATTCACTGCTACGTCCTGGATCTAGAACAGAACCTGCACATAGGGAGGCAGTGCTGAAGGCCTGCCTGCCAGGGTCCTTTATGGTGCACATTCATTCTTTTCAATTATTGGTGATTTCCCCTCCTTTGGTGTTTTTATGTGTAAGAGAAGATGGGGTGTGGTGAATTTTCTAGTTCTTCACTATGGTGAAGTACTGGACTGTAATCAGCTGTGCTCTGCACCCCCTACCCACCCATAAACTCTACAAACCCCCGTGAAAGTCGTACCTTAGAAGTGTGGCTCTCAGCTGGAGTACATAGCAGAATTACCTGTTGGCTTCTTAAGACTACAGATGGCTGCGCCCAACTCGAAACCAATTGAATCAGAATCTACGAGAGGAGGATTCAGGCATGTGTGGTTGTAATAATCTCTGGTTAAGAACCATCACTTGAGGGCAGTGGTTTTCAAGGTACCTGGCCCAGCAGCGTCAGCATCACCTGTGAGCTGGTTAGAAATGCAGATTCTTGGCCCCCAGCCCAGACCTCCCGAATCAGAACCTTTTGGGCTGAGGCCCAGGCAGCAGTCCGCAGTTTAGCAGCCCTCGGGTGACTCTGACGCTCACCCAAGTTTGAGGAACTCTGCTTTAGGACATCTCTTTGGGTCTTGGTGCACAACAGAGAATGTTTTTTCTAAGCAGCAGTTTGAAGAAAGTGACTAAATGAATGTGTCATTTGATGATTTCCTAGCTTGTGGCTCTAACCTAACCTCTCCCAACGCTCCTCTGTTGACACATTAATTCAGGGAACCTATTTGCAGGTCTCTGTCTGCTCTCTCCTGACGCCCCCTGGAGCATGTGCCCTTTTCCTCCCCCAGTTAGGTACCTCTGAGCAGCCTTCAGGACCCATCTTAAATTTTGTTCCCTCCAGAAAGCCCTTTTGACACTTCTTCCAATAGAAAAAATAAGTGCCCATTGTATTCCTTTTGGTCATTCTTATAGCTTTTGTATTCTCTGTACCTACCATTTTCTGTGTTAGCTTAGGCAAGTAACAACCTCTCTGTTTCCTCATCTGTAAAATGGGAATAATAATAGTGCTAGCTCCATTAAATGAGTTAATACTTGTTGAAGTGCTTAGAATAATAGTGCCTACTTCATTAAATAAGTTAATATTTGTTGAAGTGCTTAGAATAATATTCAACAAGTGTCTTCTAAAAGTAGTTATTGGTTGGGGGAGGGTGAAAGGGGTCAAGGGGCACATGTATATGGTGACTGATGGCAACTAGACTTTTGGTGGTGAACATGATGCAGTCTATACAGAAGTCAAAATATAATGATGTACACCTGAAGTTTATATAATGTTATAAACCAATGTGACCTCCATAAAATAAAAAACAAATAAAAGTAATTATTATTCATAGCATTAAATAATCGGTATTAATATTCTATAGTGCATGGCACATAGATACTCAACAAATGTCAGCTTTTCTCACTAATAATTTTAGGGCACTAAGCATTTTCAATTTTGTAGTTATCTTTATCCTCCCGTTAGTTTTTGAGCTCTTTGACAGCAGGTAATTTTTTTCTCAACTCTGAATCTCTATAGCTCCCAAAGTACCTAATATATGCTCAATAAATGTTGATGGACTTATGCTGAACTCCACAGACAGTGTAGGCCAGAAAGTCCCAAAGGAGCCCTTCCTTTGTCCCCCTATCTCCTCCTTCTTTGGGGAGCACTTTCAGTCCCTGGCTTCGTGATGTCGTCCTTCCTCCAGGCCCTAGAGGAGGCAGGTGGGTCGGGGTGCCCAGTTCTTGAGTCCAGTGGACTACACACTCTGCCTGGAGTATCTCTTTGAGATAACAGGTTCCTCTGAAAATTATCCGGAATGGCCTAGACAGTTCTTCCTGTTTTTAATTGTTTTAAAGAGCAGATCTCCAAGCCATGTTTCTGACTCCTTGCCAAACAAATGAAACTCCTTTTTAATGCAGCGTTGTCCTCAGGGGGCGGTAGGTAGGAAGGCTAGGGAAGCCATACCTGGAGACCACGGTAGTGTGGTCTTTTCATTACTAAATTGTAATGGGACTAGGTTTTTAGGTATTGAAAAATAGAGATGATGACACAGAGGTTGAGGACCCCGACTGCCTGAGTTTCCCTGCTGCTTTGTAAAGATGGCTGCCCTCCTGCTTGAACCTGGGTTTCTGCAGAGTCTGAGTTAAGAGCACAGATGTGTCTGCAGTTGCAGCTGGCAGATGGTGGATGGTGGTCTCCGTGGGGCACAGTCATGTTGGAGCCTGAGCCCCCACTTTGCCTCTTGGGGTGAACTTCTTTTTGAAACAATCTGATGTGTAAGATGAGTGTTCTATAGTTTTCATGCCTGGATTATTGCAAGTTTTTCAATTTCAAGGAAGTTTTTTCCAACTGTTACCTTAATCTTTTACATTTTTATTATGTTTATGATAGTTTTCTAGAAGTCAGTAGTGTTCACTGAGTTATGAAATACCTAAATTTCAGTAAGGTATTTGATGAAGTCTATCCTAATGTTCTTATAGGTAAAATTCTGTGAACAGAATGCAAAGTTGGGAGGATTCATAACTGGGGAATGACTAGACCCAGAGAGAGCTGGTTAATGAATTGATGAGAGCTTGGAGTGGGATGGGGGACAGGGCCAGGCAGGGAGCCGACTGTAACACTTGCCAAAGACCTCTGTCCTCTACACTGGCCCAGCCCACATTTTTAGTAATTACTTGGTTGCGGGCATTTATGGCATGCTTGTTAAATTGAGGTTTACCCAACTTCTGTTGGATGATGAATGTGTTGTATGAAGAATCTGGGTTGTGGGAGGTACCCAAGATGCCTCCCCCAGTCAGTGCCCAGTGCTGCCAAGTTCATTCCTCAGTGCTTCTCACACCCCTCCTCTCCCTATCCCTTCCTTGCTTGAGGCCCTCCTCATTTCTCTCCTAGGCTATTGCAGCAGTCTTTTAACTGGTCTTCCTGCCTCTAATATTGTCCCCTCAGCAATAAGAACACTTCAGGGAACACATTTACTTGATCTTGTTGCTTAAAATAACCTCTCAGTGGCATTCCCTTGCCTGCAGAAGAATGTCCAAGTTCCTTCGCACGGCCTAGAAAGTTCTCCATGTCCTGCCCACAGAACTTCTCTGGCCTGGTCTCCTGCTCTTCCTCACCTTGAATCTTATGCTCGAGTGATGTCAGACTGCCTGTACTTCCCCACGTGGTCCATTCTGTTTCATGCCTTTGAACCTTTGCTCCCCTTTTGGTGGTTCCATTACGTTCTCCCCTCTCTTCCCCTTTAAGACTCAGATTTATTTACATCACTATATTGGATATGCCTAGCCATTCATTTCTCTTTCTCAGACTAGACTATAAACTTCTTAAGGGCAGTATTCTTACTTTATTTAGCACCCAGCACTTAATAAGCCAGCACTAAGTGTTTTTGATTATAACTGAGAATACAAAAAGATCTTAGCAATCTAAAAGGCAGACCATAAAACCTAACAGGGAGATAAAATTTAACAGCTATACTTGAGTTTAAAACAAACAAACAAAGAAAACTAGTCTCGATCTAAGTACTGAGCACAAGGTGGGAGAGAGATGACTCACCACCATCAGTAGACCATGTAAAAAAAGAAAGCCTGTGGTTTCAGTTGACTTTATGCTCCACATGAGTCAGCAGTGTGATGCAACTCCAGTAACCTGATGTCAGAACAGGGAAAGTAACAGTCCTGCTGGTCAGACCACGCGAGAGAGCCGTGTGCCGTTCTCCATACGAGGAGGTAAAGCAAGTCCAAAGGAAAGCAGCTGGAATAGTGAGAGAAGCTGAACCCCCTCGTATGAGGAAGAGTTGAAGGAGGTAGGGGTGTTTCATCTGGAGAAGACAGAGGGGGCATAATAAGTAAATGCCTAAGGGCTCACTAAGAACCTCAAAATGCAGAATTAGGCCAGCGCTGGAGTGGAAACTGAAAAGAACTTTATGACAATTAGATCTACTAACAATGGAATAGTCTGTCCTGTGAGCACCAAGTCACTGTAGGGTTCAACCGAGGGCCTCTGAGAAGAGGTGCTGCAGAGGGGATCTGAGCCCCCGAAGGAAAATTGGACTAGATGTCCTTTTATTCTGTTCAACTTTGAGGATTGGTGATACAGGAGGTCACTCAGTTCATATTTACTGAATATTGGGGAGGGGCGCCAGGAGCACATATTCTGATAGGAATGCCTTTTGTGCCCCTAGGGGAAAAATTGTGTATTACCTAGATAGAAATCACCTCTGGGCCAGAAGCCTTAGTGGGCTAGTCGCTTATTACAGCGTTCGTGTGATGTCTACTCAGGAAAGACATCTGATAATCCCACCCAGTGTATCCAGAACCTTGCGTTCTCCTATGTCCTTCTGTGGAACTTTGAATAAAGTGATAGCCTCTTTCCCTTTGCTTTGTAGTTCTGGAGCATCTTGGCTTCTGGGAGGAAGTCAGAAGGATCATCTCAGGATCAGAGCTGATAACAGGATTCCCCTATACCTTCACGGTGCCAGGCCTGCCCCAGTACCTCCAGAGCCTCACCAAACTAGCCATCGCCGCAGTGTGGGCAGTGGCGGCCCAGGCTGGAGAGCAGACAAGGGACGTTCCCATCTCCTTCTCTCAGCTCTTGGAGTCTTCCTTCCCTGAGGTGCGCCTGCTGACACTGGAAGCCCTGTTGGAAAGGTTCTCAGCAGCAGCAGCCTCTGAACCAAGAGAGAGGGGACTGCCGCTCTTGCTGTGGAACATGGGAGGGACGTTCTTAATGTTGGCTATGAAGGAAAATCATCCAGAATGCTTCTGTGAGGTAAAGTTTCTGGTGTACTGACCATCCCCTTCCACTCCCCAAACTCTTTGGCGAGCCCACTGGAGTGATAAGATCATGAAGGGAGGATTGGGTTTGGCTCCTCCAGGAGGAATAGGAAGAAGATTCAGCATCCAGAGCGCCTGGGCTCTCTTTGTGTGGTGGTTGGCATGGCTTCATGCATAGAAGGGCACTAAGAAAAGTGTTTGATGGTAATGGTATTGATGACAGAGATTAACCAAAGACAGAGATTGAGAGTAAGCCACTCAATGCTGTAGGAAACAAGACATTGAAAGTTGGCTGTAGGGGCCAGCCCCGTGGCACAGTGGTTAAGTGAGCACATTCCACTTCTCGGCAGCCCAGGGTTCCCCGGTTCGGATCCCAGGTGCTGACATGGCACTGCTTGGCAAAAGCCATGCTGTGGTAGGCGTCCCATATATAAAGTAGAGGAAGATGGGCATGGATGTTAGGTCAGGGCCAGTCTTCCTCAGCAAAAAGAGGAGGATTGGCAGCAGTTAGCTCAGGGCTAATCTTCCTCAAAAAAAAAAAAAAATGTGTCAGAGGGTAGTGTATGCTGACATGGCTGTTTGGGGGCACATGGCCACCTAGAAAGCGTAATCAAAAGGAAAGGACACTGACCTAGGAATCTGAGCATCTAGACTCTTATCAGGTCAGTAGGGTCCCTGAGTGTGTCACTGCTCCACCCTGTCTTGGTCTCCCAAAGGTATTAAAGGGGAAATAAGAAGTTAGTGGGAGCTTTTTGAAAGATAAATCCTCTCATCAGTACATGTGATTATTATTTAGCTTCTGGAAACTTTTTCCTGAGTTGTGTTTTTGTTTTTGTTTTGTTTTCCCTTGGATCTGGTTCACACAGATACTGAAAATTCTCCATTGCATGGACACCAGTGAGTGGCTGCCCCAGACAGAGCGCTGTATCCATCTAACCCCGAAGGAGTTCTTGCTGTGGATAATGGATATTGCTTCCAATGAAAGGTTTGCCTCCAACACTCCCTGTGCAAACTGGGGACCATGTGTGGGCCTGTCAGTCACTTATGTAATGAACTTGAGCACAGTCCTGGCCTGAGGACTCGAGTCCTGTGTTTCCTTTTAAGTTTCAGCCTAGGAGCATGTTCTAGGCTCAGGCAATAGATTGATGTCAGAGTTTCACATTAATAACCAGAAGACAGTTACTTCTGGAAGCGTTTATGTGGCTGTGAGGTGGAGATTTCCAGCATTCACATGCACACGGATTACAGACTAACTGCAAAAACCATTTGAATATCAGGATGTAAATATGTTTGATTTTATTTTGTGTGTTTTTGGCTTACTTTTTCCAGGTCTGAAACTCAAAGTGTAGCTCTGAGACTTGCCTCCAGAGTGGTTGCCCACTGCATGCAGGCGCATGAGGAGGTGAGGCTGATCCTGCCCCAGTGGTGGGGTCAGGCTGTCGTGCTCTTCTTTACCTGGGAGGTGTCAGCAGGAGTGAACTGTCCCAGTAGGCAGGATCACTGTGGTGTGATGTGGAGCCTCCACAAAAACGTCGCTCGTCTTGATTGTTCACTTTGGATATAACTTGTGAAGACTTTTGTGAGCACCACCTTTGGCATTCCTTTTCTCTTGTTCTGGGCTCATTTGCTTAGAGTCCATGAGGATAACACAACCTCCTCCCCGCTCCAGCACACACACACACAAGCCCAAACTCCTTGTTTTTTCCTATTTTCCTCGCTAGATTTTTTATTTAAAGAGGGAGCAAGCAAGTCATTTCCAAGGATTCCCAGTCACTAGGATTGCATCCTAGTCAACTAAGTATGAAAATATATCATGAAGGCTTAAATATTGCCCCAGAACATGGCTGAGCTGGCTCTGCTTGGAGGCCCAGATGTGCCCTATATGCCTTACATGTCCTCTAGGGGTGAGGTGGAACTAAAGTAATCAAAACAGCTTCCTGGGAGATGCCTTACGACAAATACGTGCATACTTAGGAGCATACAAGAAAGATGCCACCATTACAGAATTATTATAAGTAGAAAGCAGTGGGTACTACAGTAAAATTACCTGACGCTCTTGGTTACACATCACCACACTGTGATAGTGGCGGGATAACATTGTGGATTTCAATTTTTTACAGTAAAGCAGCACTGAGAGAGCAGTGGAGATACGAAGATGAACAAAGTGTAATGAGAGAAAAGGAGTGTTAGATCATGACATTAAATGTCACGACAGTAGGGAGGAGGCTGTGGGAACCCAGAGGAGGGAGAGAGTGTTCCAGGAGCCAAGGAAGACTGCCCAGATGAGATTGTGAAGTTCAGAGAGACTGGGGCAGAGGGTAAGGATTCAGCAGAAACAGTTTCCTTGAGTCTGTCACTCAAAGGCAGGCCGGGGCCAAAGCTAGGTGGTCACTAGGAGATACAAAAGCCGAAAGAAAGTCAGTTGTGTGTGTTGCTGAGGAGGGAGGGGTTTGTAGGAAGGCAGAAGATTTGCTGAAAAAATATAGCCCAGAGGGAAAAGAACAAGTTCTAAGAAAGAAGTCGCAGGGCAGCCTAACAAGTCTTCCAAGACATCGTTCTCATCTAAAGCTGTTTCAACCAGCTGTCATGTGCATCTTAAAGGCACTGCCTGGTACTCGAATGAAGTGATATTTGATGAAAATTGAGAGTTTTCCAGAGAGAGAAAAATTAACAAAACTGTAGAGAAACACATAAAAGAAGTTCCCAGGAAAACCTGGGTTTTTTTGTGCATTGGGAGTCAGCATCTTCCTCAGGGTCTAAGATGCTTATCAGTTTAGTTCCATAGATGTCCGTAGATGATCAGAGGAGCCAGTAGTCTCATTTTGAACATTTAAAGAGGCTTAGGGGCCGGCCTCGTGGCCGAGTGGTTGGGTTCGTCTGCTCTACTTTGGCGGCCCAGGGTTTTGCCGGTTCACTTCCTGGGTGCAGACATGGCACTGCTCATCCAGCCATGCTGAGGCAGTATCCCACATGCCACAACTGGAAGGACCCACAACTAAAGATATACAACTATGTACCGGGGGAGAGGCAGGGGGTAGTTTAGGGAAAAAAAGGAAAAGTGAAGTCTTTCAAAAAAAAAATAAATAAATAAAATAAAATAAAGAGGTTTAGTTGATAGGGGAAGTAAAGTACATTTGGAACAGTAATCCCCTTTCTAGAAAAAGTGAAAAACCAGGGTTTAAAACATGGAAACAACCCAAATGCCCATCAGCTGGTGAATGGGTAAACAAAATACAGTATATCTATACAATGGAATATTATTCAGCCATAAAAAAGCAATGAGGTACTGATACATCCTGTAGCATGGCTGAACCTTGAAAACATGCTAAGTGAAAAGAGCCAGTCACAAAAGACTAATGTTGTGTGATTCAATTTTTATGAAATGTCCAGAATAGGCAAATCCATAGAGACAGAAAGTAGATTTGTAGTTTAGGGCTAGGGGAGGGGGGAGATGACAGGATGAGAGGATGATAACTAAAGGGTACAAGGTTTCTCTTTTTGGTGATGAAAATCTTCTAAAATTGACTGTGATGATGGTTGCACATATCTGTGAATACACTAAAAACCATCGAATTGTATACTTTAAATGGGTGAAACGTGTGGTATGTGAATTAGATCTCAATAAAGCTGTTACTATAAAAAGACAAGAATAGGACTTTGTTTAAACAATAATATTAGTTAGGATGCTGCTTTAAATGTTGTAACAGAAACTCTTACTTACAGTGGCTTAACCCAGATAGAAGCAGTCCAAAGCAGACATGGTGGCTTCAGAGTGTTGGGCCCCCAGCCCCTTCTACCTTGCAGTTCTGCTTCCTCAACATGGCTTCCATTCATGGCCCCTTCCATCAGATGGTTGCTCCAGCTCTCATCATCTTGTCTTTGTTCAGCTAGCAGGAAAGAGAAACCCAGGAAGTGAAGGTCACACCTATTTCCGGATGCATGACTGAAAGTGCACAGATACCGTGTTTTTTTTTATGACATCCCGTTAGTCGGAAATCACGTTACGCCCAAATGCAAAGGAGTCTGGGAAATGTAGTCTTTAGCTGGGTGCCCACATGCCCATCCAAAAATCTGGGGTTCCATTACTAAAGCTGGAAGGAGTATCTGCTTATTGGGGACAAATATTATTTGCTGCCACAGTCTTTCCCCCAAATTTTGTCTTTATTGAAGTTACCAAATACACCAATGTTCTGAAAACCTGATTTGCATCAGAAAAGACTCAAAGAACTTCCTTGCTAGTTATAATGACTCCATATTACTGAAAGACAAGTCAGATTTTCTTCCCTGGGCTTGTTTATTTCACTCTAGTTGGGATGGAAAAGCAACTAAAAAAACCTTTCTTCCGACTGCAGTAAGAACTAATTTGCAGATCCAGTTTGGTGTACAGAGCTCATCTCTAATGCCCTGTCAGCCCCTGATGGCATCTTCTTTATTTTTTTGAGGAAGATTAGCCCTGAGCTAACATCTGCTGCCAATCCTCCTCTTTTTGCTGAGGAAGACTGGCCCTGAGCTAACATCCATGTCCATCTTCCTCCACTTTTTATATGTGGAACGCCTGCCACAGCATGGCTTGCCAAGCGGTGCCATGTCTGCACCCGGGATCCGAACCAGTGAACCCCGAGCCGCCGAAGTGGAACATGCAAACTTAACCCCTGTGCCACCGGGCCGGCCCCATGATGGCATCTTCTGAACTGCTGTACACTTTGTGCTTTCAGACCAGAGACTCAGTAGTCCCTGAGCTGAAGCAGTGGGTTCAGCTGGTCGTCTCGTCCTGTGGAGATCATCTTCCTACAGAGTCCAGGCTGGCTGCTGCTGAAGTCCTCACCAGCACCACACCATTTTTCCTCACCAACCCCCATCCCATCCTTGGTAAGTGCGCTGAGCAGGGGGAAGTCCGTTGTACCAAATGCACTAAAAGCATGAATAGATATTCTAGGTTAAAAAAAGAAGTGAAGATGAAAAATGACAGCGTGCACCATGCCTTTACATCTTTCAAATACATTCTCACCATCTTAGTTCCTACTCTAGTCATGTTTCACCAACAGCCTCTTAACTGGCCTCTTTTCTTTCCATCTTGTCCCCCAAGCCATGCTCCTTACACTTCCAAAACCCTCTGTGGTCTCTCTGAAATACAGATCTGATCATTTCACTCCACTACTTAAAGCCTTTGAGTGGCTTCCCATTGCCTTCAGGAGAAAATCTAAATACCCTTTAACGTGGCTCATAAGACCCTTCCTGTTTTGTGCCCTGCCCACCCCACCCTCCTCATCGGCCACCACTCCCCAACACAAGCCTTATGCATCACCGGTAGGGAACAGTTCTAAACAAACTGCTACTTGACGGACTTCTGTTTGTCTGTCAAGACTCGGCCTACGCGTCACCTCTCACAGGAAGCCTGTTGCAGTGATACTGGTGAGAAATGAATGGGTCAGTGTGAAGCCGTGGCATTGAAGAATAAGAAAGGACAGACTCAAAGGGCATTTAGGAAGTAGAGTCAATAGGACTTGGTGTTGAGGTTAATGTAAAAGAAAGATTCAAGGATGACTTCCAGGCTCCCAGCTTCAGTGACTAGAAAGACTGCCAGTTCCTTTCACTGAAGTTAGTTTTAAGTTTAAGGCATCTTTGGGACATAAAGGTAGAGAAATTTTGAAATCAGATGCATGTATGGATCTTAGCTGCTCTCCAACCATGTTCTCCACTTTCTGTCTCTTTCCTCTCTGCCACTCCCTGTCCTTCAAGAGTAATAATTAGGAAAGAGCACATGTTAATGGTGTTTGAGAAAACCAAGCTTTAGGAGATCATAAGGAATTGAAAAAGCATGGGGGTTTTTGTTCTGTTTCATTTTACTTTTTAAGATTTTTTAAAAATTGTGGTATTTTGTTTTGTTTGTTTTTAAGCATAGGGTTTAATAAAAGGAAAACCTGGCACCTAAAGCCGTGCTCAGTCCTGACCCTGTCCTCTGCTGCCGTCTTACCCCTGTGTTATTGGGCCGTGACTCTCTTCCGTCCTTTACTGGGATGCTATTTTTGTCCGCCTCTTCCATGCCCCACTCAGGAGACTGAGCCATGGTCCGTGCATCCAGGGAGCTTTCAGTGTAGTCATACTGAAAGGAGTTACAGAGTAAAGCAAAGAATTGCTTTTTTAGATGGTGAGATTCCAATTTTAAGTGTTATTGGAGTTCAGACCAATGAAGTCTTACGTGTCTGGTTCTCTCTGGGAGACAAAGTTGTCTTTGATATCCTTTTCATTCTTTCTTCTAAGTGACTTCCAGGTGTTTTTCTTACACCCAAACAGGGGCTAAAAAGGAACCTTCTCTGTGACTTAATTGTTGGACCCAGAGGAATAAGCAAAGGTTTATAAACTTTGGTGAAGCTTCTCCAGTGTGTTTAATAGCATTTTGCAGCACATTTTCTGGGTATCTTTGGCCACTCTAACCCAGCTCAAATCAGGAAAAGGGGTGTGGAATAACCTGGAATTCTGAGTGAAATTGAGTCCTGGGCAAAAGCCATTGGTTCATAATTAATTGCCAGAGCTGGTTATAGCACTATAGGCATCGAGGAAGGAAGTCAGTGGTAGCTGATAGCCCGCGAGAACATGAAAAATAGGTACAGAACTGAGAGACAAAGGACATAAAAGCACAGGGGGACAAGTCAAGGACAGAACAAAGTCATTTAAGATAAAAGAAAAATTGAAATGGACTAAGGAGTGGAGCTTGAGTATCTTGGGGCTATAAATGACCATGTTTAAGAGGAAAATATTAAACCCTAGAGAACAATTAGAATGTATAGATTCTGAAAGACTGAGTAAAATTTAAAGCCAGAGTTATATTAGAAAAGAGAGAAGGAAACTGCAGAGGAAGCCGTTGCTGTTCTTGGTATGACTAAAGCATTGGTGACTCTGATAACAAGTTCTCCGCGGACAGACGAGGGAGAGGGTAGGTGAAGAAGAGTTCTTAGCACAGGGCTGGTTCCCCATTGACAGGTGAGGGATGTGGAGTGCTGGTCTTCTGTGGCCCTCCATTGCGACCTTCCACAAGGCTGGGCCCACCCCCCTGGACAACGTGTATTCTTTCTTTGAGGCCCTGCCCACCTCTCACCTCCCTCCTGAAGTCTGCCTCAGTTAACACCAGTCCACTGTGATCTTTCGCTGTTGGGAGCCATGGCCACACATTTCCATCCCTGACTTCTCGTCGCCTTGCATTCTTGACTTGATGTTCCTTTCAGTTGCTCAGGTGCAGACACTGTCTTTCCCTTGTCTCTCGTCCACAGCAGCACCTAGCAGAGGGACTAGACAGTGTCCCAGCCCAGGGGTAATGGCTGCCAGATAGTGGGCCCCACATAGACATGGAACAGGCTGGTGCTTTATAGTGGTTCCTTGCCATTTTTTGGTTCTTGCTCCCCAAAGTGTAATCTTGATTGAAAATTTGCTTTCAGAATTTATAAGCTCACTCAAATCAACAGTCACTCAGATCAACACTGGGCTAGTTTCCCCAAAGCACTCTTGAACATAAAGTTTCATTCCTGAGAATCGTGAGTCATTGTGGACAGCTGGGCCCAGGGCCTTTGTCAGCCACACTGCACCTTCTGGGGCTGGTTGCCTCCAGAAGCCGTCTCCCCTCAAAAAAAAAAAAGAGACATTTCCAAACCTGCTTCCCTAGGGCCTGTCTCTTCCGGTGTTCTTACTCTCGGGTCTTGCTTTCTTGCAATACCCAGAAAAAAGGACTGGCTATTGCTCATTAAATACTGCTCTCCCTGACCGAGGATTGAAGTGGCGTTTGTACCTGCCTGTAAATTGCAGCCTAGGTAATTCTTATTCCTTCTGGTGTTCTTAGGACTGCAGGATACACTCGCACTCTGGAGGTGTGTCTTCACCCTCCTGCAGAGTGAGGAGCAAGCCGTCAGAGACGCAGCCACGGAAACCGTGACAACCGCCATGTCACAAGAAAACACCTGCCAGTCAACAGGTACCTTATTCTCCTTCTGCAGTGCCTTATGGCTCTTGGACAGGGGTTGGTACACTTCTTCTATAAAGGGCCAGCGAGTGAATATTTCAGGCTGTTTTGGTCCTCCAGTCTTTGTCTCAACTCTGCCGTTTTAGTGGAGGAGCAACCATAAACAGTAGGTAAACAAGACGGCATGACTGTGTTCCAACAAAACTTTATTTACAAAAGCTGGCAGCTGCCCAGATACGATCTGCTAGCCACATCCCATCATAGAGAAGAACTTTTTCAAAGATAGAAATCTAATAAACAGTGTCTTTTGTTAGTTACATTGTCACCCCTTTTAAGTAAGACCAAGTCTTGATTATCTGTGTGGTTACCTAACCCAGGAATCATAGATCCATCATTTTGTTCCTCCATGAGTTTTCACACGTGACAGAAACAGGTGAGTGTAAGTCAAGTTCTCCTCTTTGTGCCTTGGCTCCTCCTTTGGTGGCAACATTAACCCAGGAGGCAGGAGGGGAGTGGAAAGAGGAGGAGCCTAGACAGGTAGTTATGAGCTCATAGCCATGCAGCTGGTAATATGAGCTATTCCAGCCCTGGGCCCTGGTCATCTGTGTGTGATGGCAAATGCCCAGGAAGCAAAAGGGGACTGCTGGCTTTGGAAAATGGGCTGCTTGGTGGAAGGGACAGGAGGCAGGTGGAGTAGAAGCAAAGTCATACCTCTGGACATGTGGCCATCTGGGAGGGTCCCCACTTTGGCGGACTTGTATTCCCTGCACTTGGGACTGGATGTCAAGAAAGATCTCTGGGTCAGCCATCCCAAAGAGAAGCAAGAACACCATTTTGAGGCAAGAGGTCATAGGCCGAGCAAAGAAGTTTACCTTTATGGAGAGCAGAATGGGAGGGGAAATAGCCATACAGTGTTTGTAACTGATTCAGGGCCCCTCAGCCCCGTGGCTAGGGTTGCAGTCCCTGGAAGCTTCCCTCAGAACGTGTGAACTTCCCCGTACCTGAGTCCTCCATTATAATGGTCTGGGTACTTTTCTCTGCCAGTATGGAAGATGCTAATTTTTAAATAATCTCTCAGTGATACTCCTCCGGAGCAAGTTTAGCCAGGATCAGTCCTGCCTCTCAGAGGGAAAACATGCAGACTGGTGTTGTGAATGATGTACAGGCAGCTTTCTCTTCACTCCCAAAATCAGAGTTCCTGGATATCTGAAATTCTGCCATTAGTGATTCATTCCTTTTTCCAGTTGTGCGTTTTCCTTAGAAAGAGACACAGAGCACCCAGCGAGTACTCAGTAAATATTTGGTGGAACATAGTACTCACTAGATTTCTCTAGGACCCTCTCCACCAAAGATGGGAAGATGATTTCATAATGGAATTCACAGGAAGAGTTCTTCCCTCCTAATCTTTGTAGTCTTTGCCCTACTACCATTATTTTTTAAAGAATTGTTCCAAATTCATTTTTAGTTAAACTATATTACCATATTCTCCCTCCTCCTGGTTTGAATTTTTTCTCAAGAAGTCAAAATCATTAATTATATATTGAGTGCCTTTTACATGTAAAATTCCATGTGTGAATGCCTCTGAGGGAATAATAAATATAGAAAGCTACTTGTCTATCTTTGTATTCCTCAACTTGGTCTATAAAAAAGGACTTAAGGTATAAAAAGACAAGAATTCTATAATAACTAAGTGTAGTATGTTACCCTGGACCAGATCCCGTACTGGAGGGGTGAAAAGCCATACAGGAAATTATTAGAATAACTGACAACATTAAAATACTGTCTGTAGATTAAAATCAATGTTAAGTTTCCTGAATTTGATAACTATACTGTGGTTTTGTAAGAGAATATTTTTGTTCTTAGGAAATACACAACTTAAATATTAAGGGGTAAAGAGGCCTGCAACTTACTCTCAAATTGTTCAGAAAAAATAAAACTATGTGTGCATATAAATAGTAAACACAGATACGGAGTTGCTATACTTGCATCTTTTCTGTATGTTTGAAATTATTTCAAATAAAATATTTTTTAAAAAATCCTGTTCCACAACTGGAAAAGACCAACACAGTGTATATACTGATTGACCATCTGACTGGCTTATCAACAATTCAGCCCCCAGTGTGACTCCTTTCTCCTAAATTATATGAGAACACCCTGCCTCCTCCCCACTTTTTTACTCATTTTGAAATTTTTGTTGTTATTGTTGTTTTTTACTGAGCTAACATCTGTTGCCAATCTTCCTCTTTTTACTTGAGGAAGATTCACCCTGAGCTAATATCCGTGCCAGTCTCCCTCTATTTCATATGTGTGTCACCTCCACAGCATGGCAGCTGATGAGTGGTATAGGTCTGCAACCAAGAACCAAATCTGGACCGCTGAAGCGGAGTGTGCCAAACTTAACCCCTAGGCCATGGGGCTGGCCCCAACTCATTTTGAGTTAATTTTTACATCCAAAAAAGCAAACTCAAGCCAGGTTCCTCAAAATCGAAGATCTCAGCAACATGACATCACTGGGTGGGGACACTTGTTCAGCACATCCCCATGTGTTCTCTGTTCAGCCTGAGAGTAACACTTACACAGAAGCTCATTATACAGCTTGATTTGCTTAAGCCAAAAATACACGTCTTTCTGCCATAGACTGAATAGCAGCTGAGGACTGAGGATCACCCCTGCTCTCTCGCTTTAGTCAGAAGTTTAACCAGCTGATTTATCAGAACAATATTATCTTGTTTTGACATCTGTCAAGGATATCAAGCAGCTGATGGTAATTTTTCATATTCTTTCAGCATACAGGGACTTCGTAGAATACGCTACTAATGGTTTACTCTTTGGTGTTCCAAGTTAGTCATCACTTGAAAACGTGAAAATGCATGTCATTAATTTTGTCCCCTAATTGGTGGCTTAATAAATGCCACAGTAAAATAATATTACTAAATTATGTTAATATTTAGTATCTTTGAGAAAGCTAAATGTTGTTAAAATAAATTAATTCTTACTTTTCTTCCTAAGAAAAAAACATGAGGGCCCCCTGCCTCTGCGGTCTCATTGTGTAAATGAGGGCTGGATGCAGACAGAGGGAGCTTTGCACTCAGATTCTCTAACAGCCTATGGGAGACATGGGGACGTGTGAGCTGCACTGTGATGGTGGGGCCTAGGGAGGTTCCTGAGAGTGGAGCTGGCCCAAAAAAAGGGATAAATGGGACAAAAATGAGAGCATCGACACTGAAGGAGCCAAAACTTGGGTTTGGGGGGAGCTCGGGAGCTGACTGGGGAACAGCAGGTGGACTTGTGTGGCCAAAACACAGGCTGAGGCCAGGGGAGTGGGGTGGAGATAAAGCTAGAAAGGCAGGGGTGCCCACACTTGGGATGACTTTGAATGCCAAGCCACAGGCCTCCATCTGTAGGTGACGTAAGGCTGGAGAGGGCTTTAAATAGGGGAGTAATGTTGCCAGAAACATGTGTTTGAGGAGCTCTTCCTGGCAGCAGTATGTGTGAGATGGATCAGGCTAGGGTGAGTGAGGGAAATTTCAAGGCAGGGAGACCAACCGGGCGCTGGTAGCGATAGTCCTCCTGAGCTGCCGTCAGTGGTGATGGAGTGGAGAGAGCGTGGGGGATAGATTCAACAGGATTTGGGAGCTGGTGCTTGTGGGAAGTGGGAGAGAAGGGAGAGCAGAGATGACTTCAAGCTTTCAAACCTGTGAGGTGTCCAGGGGAAATACCTGGACTTGCCTCCGGCACTGAGGTAGCAGTTGGGCTGTGGTGTTCCAGGAAGTGAAACTACCAGGAATCGAGAAAGGCACTCAGAGGCCGCAAGTCATTGTGATCTGGGACACAGCATTCCTTAGACCTTGGAGAGATCAGCAGTGGAAACTGAGAGGGCGAAAGGGCACCTTTATCTGCTGTAGGAACACAATGAACTGTCCGGCTCTGTCCTATCCTCTCCAGCACACTGCCCAGTTATCCTGGGAGCCACAACAGTCCTTAACAGGGCAAGTTATTGGTCCCAGTGGGCACTGGCTAGAAACTGTCAAAGAAGAGGCAAACATTAAACCCGTCATTCAGACAGCATCACCCCACCATGTCGCCTTGCACACAGTCGGCTTTTGGTATAGATTTGTGATGTGAGTGAGTCAGTGGTTCTGGAAGGCCTGGAGAAAATAACTCCATGTTTAGACAGCCCTGGTGAGGATGGATCTGTTGTTCACTTTTTTGCCTGCTGATTTCTCCTGCTGTCCTTCTGCACTGCTTCACCCCACATGGTCACCTGGAAGGTGAAATTCACAGCCTGTTGACAACTCTCTGAGTACCACCTGAGGCTCCCTCAGCTTTGGAGGTACGACTTCAGGAAGCCCCAGCGATGGGACCCTCTCCGCCCCTTATCTCCCCAGTCCTCTGTGCCAGTCACAGAGCGAGCACACCAAGAGGAACAGAAGACATGGCATTTCCAGGACTCAAGAGTAGGGGACGGAGAGTTGCAGCTAGGATCAGAAAGTACGTGAGCAGGACTCCGCTGGGGCTCCACCTTTCTCCTTTCCCTGCTCTGACTTGACTTAAAGCCTTGAAATACTCTGGAAAGAGCTCTGGTTTCAAGAGCAGCACTCAAGGCAGTCAGCTCTGCCGCTCCCACTTCCCTGGGCCACGCCTTTCCACCCGAGCCGCTCACTCCTGTCTGTCTCATATGCTGTATCAGGATTTCACGTCAGATTTCATTTGAACAAGCGCTTCCCTGTGAGGGAAAACTAACCTGGACAATATTTCAATTTAAACCACTAAATCTGTGTGATTCTCCGGTTAGGCAGACAGAGTGCTGGGTGCAAGCAGCAGGGGAGGAACCTGTGAAGGAACAAACTTTAACAGGCTGCTTTCGGAGAAAGAGAGGATGAAAAAACACCTTAAAAAAAAAACAACCACTTAGAGGGCCAGAAGATGGCCATATTTCAGCAACCGGGGTTACCGTAGCCTGTCCTACCAGCAGGAGTGTCTGGAGCCTTTTCTCTGTGTAGAGCCCTCTG